CTAATAGCAAGTTATAAAAACTGAAATGTTCGTAATATGTACTTGCATCTTGAACTAAAATATGTTTGCAAACTTCAAAAAGTTATACGTAATACTTCTCAAAGCCAAAAGACTTTACTCGTCTAGTTAACCTAAATCACAATAAAAAGATGTCAGCAATGTGCTAAAATAAGTTAACACCAAGTTATTTCAATAAGATTTTCTTAACTTTTCAAAAGCAAAAAACATGCTAGCAAAATATTAACAAAGTGCTAAAACATGCTAACATCAAATACACATGCCGAAATGTTAAAAATATGCTAGCAATGTGCTAAAACGCAATATAAACATGTTAGCAATATGCTAAAATGTTAACATCTAGTTATAAATGCTGAAATGTTAGAAATATGTTAGCATGTTGTACTTAAACATTGCAGCCCTTTATTAACCTTCATTAAGATATTCTAAACTTTTCAAAAGCAAAACTTATGCCAGTAACATGTTAGCAATATGCTAAAAAATGCTGACAACAGCAAGTTATGAATGCCGAAATGTTATGAATATGCTATCAATGTCCTAAACCATGATAGAAACATGTTAGCAATGTGCTATAAATGCTAACAGCAAGTTATAAAAACTGAAATGTACTAAATAAGTATTGGCAACTTGTACCAAACATGTTTGCAAACTTTTTAAAAAGGTATATTTAAACTTTTCAAAACCGAAAGGCTTTACTGCTAGAAACATGTTAACAAAGTGCTAATTCACAAAAGAAACATGTCAGCAATGTGCTAAAATAAGTTAACACCAAGTTATTTCAATAAGAAATTCTAAACTTTTTTGACAAAAGTCAAAAAACATGTTAGAAACATGTTATCAACGTGCTAACATATGCTAATAGCAAGTTATAAAGCTGAAATTTTAGAAATATATACTAAAACATGTTTTCAACCCTTTGGGTTTTCAGTTAGATATTCTTAACTTTCCTAAAGCCAAACACATGCTAGCAACTTGTACTAAAACATGTTTGCAAACTTTTCAAAAAGTTATTTTAAACTTTTTAAAGTCGAAATACTTTATTCTTCTAGGGAACCTGCTAGAAACATGTTAATAATATATCTAAATTAGCTTATTATTAAGCACAATTACACAAAAAAAAAAACATGTTAACAATGTGCTAAAGCATACTGAAAACTAAAAAATCATTAACATCAAGTTATTTAAGATATTCTAAACTTTTCAAAAGCAAAAAAACATGCCAGCAACATGTTAGCAAGGTGCTAAAACATGCTGACGACAGCAAGTTATAAATGTCAAAATGTTCAATATATGCTAGCAATGTGCTAAACCACAATAGAAACATATTAGCAATGTGCTAAAACATGTAAACAGCAAGTTATACAGCTGAAACATTGAAAATATGCTAGCAATGTTCTAAACCACAATAGAAACATGTTAGTAGCAATGTGCTAAAACATGTTAACAGCAAGTTATAGATCTGAAATGTTCAATATATGCTAGCAATGTGCTAAACCACAATAGAAACATATTAGCAATGTGCTAAAACATGTAAACAGCAAGTTATACAGCTGAAACATTGAAAATATGCTAGCAATGTGCTAATCCACAATAGAAACATGTTAGTAGCAATGTGCTAAAACATGTTAACAGCAAGTTATAAATCTGAAATGTTCAACGTATGCTAGCAATGTGCTAAACCACAATAGAAACATGTTAGCAATGTGCTAAATCATGTTAACAGCAAGTTATAGATCTGAAATGTTCAATATATGCTAGCAATGTGCTAAACCACAATAGAAACATATTAGCAATGTGCTAAAACATGTAAACAGCAAGTTATACAGCTGAAACGTTGAAAATATGCTAGCAATGTGCCAATCCACAATAGAAACATGTTGGTAGCAATGTGCTAAAACATGTTAACAGCAAGTTATAAATCTCAAATGTTCAACGTATGCTAGCAATGTGCTAAACCACAATAGAAACATGTTAGCAATGTGCTAAACCTGTTAACAGCAAGTTATAAATCTCAAATGTTGGAAATATGTATTAAAACATGTTTGCAAACTTTTCAAAAAGTTATTTTTAACTGTTCAAAGCCAAAATACTTTACTCATCTAGTCAAATGCTGTAATTTTACATGTAGGCCACTCATATGAGGTCAAGCATGATGAACAATGCAGCGTCCATCATATTGGCATGTCCAGCAGTAACTCAGAAGGCCTAATGAGTTTTTAATGGGCGGCTCATGACGGATACAGCAGGGCCCGCGTGAGAGCACAAAAAAGCCCACGTGCTCCGCTCCGCATGTAGGCTTGCTAGCGCCCTGTCAGCGCTCGTATGCATGCTAAGCATTGCTGCCAGACGCATCCGTTAAGACACTTTTCTAAAAATACCCGGTGTGGGTCTTAACCTCGCTTTGTGAGGCCGCCGTATAATTGCCAGCTAAACAAATGATCTCCCACCAGGGGACGAGTGAGGGAAGATGTTGAAGGAGACGCCGAAGTGTCCCGTGTCTTTATCTAGTGAACAGATTTCACCTGCAAATGAGGATTTATCTCTTTTCCCTGGCTCAGTCTGATAACACCGAGAGCTAGATGAGATGCAGAAGGAAGTTTATTACCTGCAGCTCTCATGACGGGGGTTTATTTTATCCTCGCTGGTGCGAAATTTTGATGAGATGGATCTCTGGTGTTAGCAGGCAGAGCTGCGTGTAATGGGCTAAAATTAAACACCATTATCGAAATATTAATAAGTGTACGCAGATATGTTACAGATATGAGATTTGGGTATTTGAGCACAATGTGTTTCAGCTCTAATGCTATTATCTGTGGATAAATTAAGCTGTGAGAGATCTCGGCTTTGTTGCAAATGCTAGTGAGTTCACTACGTTGGGCACAATCTAAATTATTTAATGGGCAGTGGTTTTGTGTGTTATATATTACAGTTTTTCTCAGTCGCTTTGGTGCGTTTCTCACAACACCAGTGCATTTTTGCACAACAGTTAATGCATTTCTCAAAACAATTAGTACAAACTGCAAAACCTAGCTGATAACCTGCAAAAAGCGCGTCACATGCTCAAAATGGAGAGTTCATTCCTCAAAAGCAAGTATTTATGTCAATCAAAGTGTCAGTGTCATCAAAATGAAAAGTCCTGCCACCATTGTTTATGAACAGGATAGTCAAATGGCTTAGTCATGTTTTCATTATGACAGTTTACTCTACATTTTTTCAATGCAAAAAAGTCAGATTTTGGTGACGTCCTGAAAATGCTCAAGACAGCACTACTGTTTGCACAGCCATTTGAAATCTACTGTAAAGTTAGACATCACTGCATTGAGTGAGTTATCTGAGTACAAGACACTGAATATGTATGTTTCACATTTTTACTGCACATGCTCTTTACAATCATAATTCATTCACAGCATTGTACAAAAGACTAAATCCACCCTTATTTACAACAAACATAAACTTCCTTTAGCTAGAGCAGTGCACAACTGTAAACGATATTGCATTACAAATTGGAACTGAGCTTACAACATACACAGGTCTGTAAATCATTCATCAAACTGTTCAATTTTTAAGACATTTTCAGGAAAATAAAGATTTAAATTTGTTTTATAAAATTAGCTTGACAGATTTTGACAACTAGTTCAACATTTTTGTGTGTAATGACTCGAGTAATGAAATGAGAACTATTACTTTTATATGGAATGACTATTCAGCATTCACGTTTAGTTAATTTTGACTGACATGACATAAGCAAAGATAATGTTATAAACAGCAGAGAGTTGTATGAAAGCAATTCATGCATGTCCAAAAGCATTTGCAATTTGTTGAAAGGAATGAGAAACTGCTACTAGGATGTGCACAAATGACTAATTGTTTTGAGAAATGCATGACCTGTTGTGCAAATGTAAATAGTGTTGTGAGAAATGCACCAAAGCGACTGAGAAAAACTGTAAATATACATGTGCATAATTTGTTTCAGTTTTGTCAGTAATTGGTATATGTTTATGCTTTTTTCGCTTAAAGGGAACCTATTATGCCCCTTTTTACAAGATGTAAAATAATTCTCTGATTTCCCTAGAGCAGAGGTGGACAAACTATGGCCTGCGGGCCATATGCAGCCCGCTAAACACTTTCATCCGGCCCGCGAGGGAGTTTTTAAAATTCCTCTACTGAGAAGGTTTGGTTTAGAATTAGTAAATAATGATGCAATTACAAGTGAATGTCATGTGATAGCAGTATTGCATGCGGTACAGTTAGTGCAACCAGTAGAATTAGAACACACTCTCGGATATTAAAATGCACATGACAGTTACGCCCCATTCACACGGGGCGTCAGCGCTTCCCATTCACTTTGAGGCATTGCCGAACTGCATTGTGGATCCGTCGGCGCCGCTTCAGAGGCGTTGCCCGCTGCACAAGTTGGGACTAGCTCAACTTTTCAAGCACCGACGGAAGCGTCAGCCAATCAGATCGCTGTATGCCAATACTACAGCTAGACAGTGGCCTATTAGTGACTGAATTTCATTGGCTGACGTTGCTATGATGATCACGTTAGCCCCAACTTGAGACATGCCTTCAGTCAAGCGTTGAAGCTGAAGCCCCGTGTGAATGGGTCAGCAATTCCATGTCAACAGCTCCTTTTAAAACAAGTGTGTTCAATACTTGTTTTCCCCGCTGTATATAATACTACAGTAAAACGGATTTTGCTAATATACACTCTAATTGAAATGTAACTAATGACGACTAATGATAAATTCTCTGTTTTCCCAAGACCACAACTCTGATTGGCCTGTTGAAGACGGCTCGGCTCCTCCGTCTGGTTCGTGTGGCGAGAAAACTGGACCGTTACTCTGAATACGGAGCGGCCGTTCTCATGCTCCTCATGTGTATATTCGCTCTCATCGCCCACTGGCTCGCCTGCATCTGGTACGCCATTGGAAATGTGGAGAAATCCTACCTGGAGCATAAGATCGGCTGGCTGGACAATCTGGAGGTGTCTATTGGGAAAAGATCCAACACTAGTGACCCCGGCTCAGGACCGTCCATAAAGGATAAATATGTGACGGCGCTGTACTTCACCTTCAGCTCGCTGACCAGCGTGGGTTTCGGAAACGTGTCGCCAAACACCAACTCTGAGAAGATCTTCTCCATCTGTGTCATGCTGATCGGATGTAAGTCTGAAAAACATGCATGTGACGAAATTAAAGTGATTTACTGTTCCAATGCTGGAAATTTACCATATATTACTCAACACAAAAGGAGAATGTTTTAAAGATGAGCAAGAGGAGAGGGGTAAATAATAAGAAAGTATTAATATTATGTTATTACAATTTATTATTAATAATATTCATTCATTCATTTTCTTTTTGGCTTAGTCCCTTTATTAATCAGGGGTCACCACAGCAGAATGAACCGCCAACTTATCCAGCACATGTTTTACGCAGCGCATGCCCTTCCATCTGCAACCCAACACTGGGAAACACTTACATACTTTTGCATTCACACTTATACACTACAGCCAATTTAGCTTACCCAATTCATCTACAGTGCATGTTTTTGAGGGAAACCAGAGCACTCGGTGGAAACCCACACCAACACGGAGAACATGAAAAACCACACAGAAATGCCACCTGAGGCTCGAACCAGCGACCTTCTTGCTGTGAGGCGATCGTGTGTATATATATATATATATATATATATATAGATAGAACGATAGATAGATGGATAAAACGATAGAACGACAGACAGACAGACAGACAGACAGACAGACAGACAGACAGACAGACAGAC